AGACTTTAGTAAATTGATGTATTGGTTACCTTTGGACTTTTTGATCTGACTGGCATGATATTATCTCTTAATCACTGGCAAAATTTTATAGACCACATTGATTAAAAGACCATTGAAAGTAGTTGGACTTTCACTTCATCACTTTTCAAAGAAGAATCGATACAAAGTATAATTTCAATTTTAAAATAATTTTAAACATGAATCAACTGGCATATAGAGTGACATTCGAGGTTCCGGGTATCCCGAAAGGATGGGAAAAAATACTAGTAGCAAACAAAAGTGAATAAAGTGCATTGCTATCGGAGTAGTCGAGAGCCGCTTAGTTGACAATAAATGCAATGGAATTTAGAAAAGTAATAACGTAATTATATTAAAATGCAATTTAAAGTAGACGACAGTCCTATAACTGGTGAACTGAGATTGCGTCTTGCTGATTGGGTAAAGTCTAATTGCTAAAATAAAATCAATAAATCAATGACAATTGATAAGCCATAATAGGTCCTAGAGTTTAAATTCGAACGAAAAGCCATGACGTGCGTTAATTAAAATGTTAAATTCTATAAATACGCTATTTTTTAATGTCCTGATTTAATCAATGTGATTTTGCATTAACTATAAATAATTTTTCTTCAGAGAAGTGTTTAAAACGAATTTGATAAACTTCGAATAGTACTTTTTTGTTTAATTCAATTTGTAAACTTTCATGAGGGATAAAAATGTCTAAAAGATTACTCTTCACTTGCATTTTATGCAAAGGCTCGCAGGAAAAAATACAAAAACAGAAAAGTTTAAAATATAGAAAAATATATTTAGAGGGAAATTTTGAAACAAATCGCAATTTATTTATGGGAAAATTCAGCGGAGATAAAAGGTTTATTTATTTTCATGAAAATAAAGCAAAGGTGGGTTTAATTCAAATTAATTCGTTTGTATACTTAAAATATAGACCCAGATTTAGAGCCGGAATTAACCTGTGCCAAGAATTCACTGAAAAATTTGAACATTTCCGTTTATTTTGTTAAAAGTACTGTCTTTAGGAAGATGATATCGGAGCGTGAAATGGAACATTTGCCTTATAATTAGATCAATTTTGCTCAACTTCCTGGCAGACGGAAATCATGAACCACTACAATTGTCTTTGATGGCAAATATGTTACTTTTATATAAAAATGCTAAGACCACATTTGTTTTGATTGAAATAAAATTGCATAAGTTGCTTGATACCCTTAAGGGTTCTAGTTTATTCGACATATATTTATATTAGTGCTTTCAAGTGCTTTCAGCACTTATCTACGCAAATCTCCTTTTAGCAAACAGGATTTTACTTAATCAAAACGGGGACTTGCATAGGACCAGACAGTGAAAAGTGACAAATTTTGTGTTGCGCAAAATTGCACACGAAAGCTATCCAACCAAAATGGTCTTCAACTTAGGGTTTTCAAGGTGCATAATTATCAGAAAAAAGATTATATAAACATTGCACTGGAAAGTAGAAGTTGATGAAGAGAGAAATATGAGGTAGAATGTGAAGCATTGAGTCCATTCATTGATAGACAGAATTGAGTAGATTGGACAGACTACCCATGATGACTTACTGAAAGCATTATTTGTTTCTCCTAAAGGAAAGGACCTACATGGATAAAAATTTGTGAGGTTATGGCAATTTGAAGCACTTTCACTTTGTACTGAAACTTCAATGGCGAAGTTGCACATTTAACGTCCCTCTTAGGATTGCTCGATTTAAACCCTAGCATAATTGATCGGTCTTTTATTATAAAGCCTGAATTGTCATTAAACTAAACACATTCAAGCATGTCTTTTTATATTTCTTCATTCAAAATATAAAATGATTTAAAACTTTTGTTTGAAAAAAATAAACGGGCAACAAGTCAATGCACCTATAATTAGCAGAAAACGGCTTAACAAACCCGTGACTACTGTCACAGATTAACCTATTATCACCAGGTATGACCTATACTCCAATTCCGATTGCACTGCAGATGAGCAATAATTGCTCATTAAATACTTACCACCATATGAAAATTTGAGCTTATCCTAACAACTAACTTAAAATGAATCATCCAGCGAAAACAAAAAAGTGATTCATTGTTTGCCTTAGAAGGGAGTTTTCATTGAGTAATTAAATTGAATGATTTCGAGGATGACTCATCTACGAAAAAATCTTTCCGTACTTGTGAGCAAAGCCTTGAATGAAAATTGAGGAATAACTATAAGTTCTCGAGTTTTATTTATTTATTTGTCTTGATTTAACTGTCAAACCGACATCTCACGCCTTTCCACTGTCTCAAATCCGACTATACACATCATTAATATAAATAATTAGTACCGTCTCATTAAATTCTCAATTCCCGTCAAGGCACTTGAATTAAAACAGTCACTAAGCAAAGAAATCATAGTTTAGTTAGACATCTCACTAATATTCGAATACCAAAGTTTTATACCTTCAATTGTTTCCCCTCGAATACTGCAGGTATTGATTTATGAATCAATTGAAATGTTACTGAAAACCAAGAGTTTAGAGATGGTCGAACAAGATTAAATAGCATAATTGGGCAGATATGAACGTCAGAGGTAATAGACAGCCGAGAAAAAGAAACTGAGGCCTGTGAAATAGGACCAACTTAGTTTACAAAGGCCTGTGACTCTTATTGTTTATCTCCGCAGTAGCAGTGATGAGAACTTTTTGTACCAATAAGTGAGGAACATAAATTTCTCGCAGTGACAAGAATTTGCCTACAAAAAGTTATCGATAAAGGAATACAAACCAAAAACAATTTACTGCTTTTGAAGGGAGCATACGTTGTACTCATTAAATTACGTCTAATTATCCAAGTTGTGAATACAAATTTGCGTTGAGATAATGAATACTTAATTAATTATTTATGTCACCACATTGAAGTTATTTGAAGCTGAAATCAAATTTTATAATACGCAATTTGATTTTCATTTTTAATGTTAACAAAAATAGAAAGAATATTTTAATGTGCTACTATCCACTTTCAGAGACTTCAAAAGTCAAATTAATTCTTAAAATATATTTTCAACCTATCGCGAGCTATAGTGGCACTACTATAAGACGGAAAGAAATTGATCTAGCATGAATACCAATTCAATTATCGGGGTATGTGATAGACTTACTTCCACGTGGTTCACCCTGGGCAACGTATTCTCAAACGGCAAAAAAGTCTATAAACCTGCAATTGACTTCTGACTTCAAACTACTATGACTCCACTGCATGTCATATTCCACTACTTTCACAGTACTCGCATTACCTTACATTTTCTCTGCCTTTGTGTCTGTCTGTCCCTTCTGCATCTGTGAACCACTCTTCTGTTCCCCCTCTCGAATTTTTCTCACTTTGTTGTTCCTTACTCTGCGAATCCCGAAGTCAGCTAAATGACTAATGATAACTATTCAAAACGCCTGCCATTTGAAATAATAATAATAATAATAATTCAATTATCTGGCCAAAAAGTGCTGAAAACCGTTGATTCAAGAGTCATTTAAAGAAATGCGAACATTGGAACATTAAAATGTAAATTGAACTCCTTACGCGAGTACAGCATGCTTCGAAATAGGCAAGAGTCTTTGAGCTTCTTCTTAGTTTAAATTTAAAACCTATTTGTATATTTAGCTATTGGTTGGTATTTCTCTTCGCAAACGATTTAAAATCGTGGCTTTTAGGAGGCTTATGTTTAGGAATTTTAATTCACTTTTTGTGTATAATTTGTAACGACTTAATATAATCGATCCGAAGAAAGCGATCTTCTGCCTCCACCACCTCTCCAAGGGGCAGAAATGCTTTATAGACCTATATGTGGGGACAATTGATGCTTGAAATTACGTTATCATGCATCAGTTTGAAAGCGTTCAGGAGATTTATCAGCAGGAAACATTATAAACTATTGCGCACACACTTTTCTCGGTACTAGGCAAAGGGAGCAATTTGACACGAAGGAGACTCTTCATTGCAGATATAGACACAAATAAATCAAGCTGGCGTGACTAATCATGAAACTAAATCAGTCAGCTAACAAGCGCAGAGTATTGTGAACATAACTTTGACCAAGAATCTGGCAGCCAATTCATGAAATTCAATTATATGACAAAGTGAATTACATATATTATTTCAAATGGCAGGCGTTTTGAATAGTTATCATTAGCCATTTAGCTGACATCAAAGTGAGAAAAATTCGAGAGGGGGAACAAAAGAGTGATTCGAACGCTGTAAGGTCCCTGAAATTGCTTATCGCCTGCCATTACTTGATATCGCTCCTGATTTAGAGTGTCAACTCTTATTAGATTTATTGTCTTTTCCTTTAAATTTGGATGCGCAAATAAAATTTTTACAACGTTATTTAACACGATCGGGTAAAGTGATAATGACATTAATCTGTACTCATTTTCACTTCACAGTCCAAAGGGAGCTGATTTATAGCAAAAAATCGACTTCATTGATTTGTCTCTATGTATGAGGGTGCATCTGGAGTGAATTGCAAATATCACCTAAAGATTAAATTTTGGTTTATTTTAATTTTCCCCCAAACCATTACTCTGCATTATTTTCCGTTCATTTCCTATCATGAGTTCTATTTTTACCTTACACATAAACAGGGGTGATAATTATAGGAGGTAGCATACACATAACAGGATGGAAGCTCATCACTGATGTACACCAAGAGATATGATTTCCAATTTGGACAGGATATTAGCGATTCGTTTTAACAAATGAAATTTTTTAACTTCAGCTTTCCTTCCTCAAATATACCATCGACTAAGTAGTTTGGATAGTTCATTTCTTTTACATAAATGATTAAGATTTAGACACGTAAATCAATATAGGTATTCAATATCGATAACTAAATATCAACAGTAAATAGTTTAAGATGTGATAGACATAATCATGCTTCAAAAATAATATATTTATTCACCATATTATTAATCGATTTCATTAAGTCATAATCTGATCTATACTTACCATCCAGCCATGTAGTAACGATAGGAAATTCATAAGTTCTTCCGATTCCTCTTATTCCAACAGCTGCAATGGAGACTCGATATGAAGTTTGAGGTGAGAGATCACTGATTGTAGCTGTGTAGATCTGCTCTCTATTGTCTGGATCTACCGGAATGCTATGCGATCCTCCTCCCTCGAACTTATTTTGAAGGGGCTCCCAGAAAAGCTTAAAGTGTCGAACATCATCCAGACGTTTTCTAGGGGCTTTCCATGATACTCGTATGCTGGTTGAATCTAACACTACGATCGGCAAACCCACTGGAACATCAGGAACTAAAAGGATAAATAATATTCTACTTAAATAATACTAGTAGAAAATATGACATAAGAATAATATCGAAACTAAAACTCATAGCTTTCTGACCTATTAATTTAAATTCTATTTAAAATACTCTTTCCTCAAGATACCGGTAATTTGAATGGTAACGAAGTGGAATAGTATTTTAATGATCTTCTTCTCTTATAGGATTTTCCAGAAAATAACTGAATTCATAATTAAGTATATTCAGAGAGAAGAGCACCAGGATGGATATTTCTTAAGAAAGAAATGAGAAACTGAAAAGATGAGCCGAATGACTTCACATTAATTAAAAAGGCAAAATAGTGCACAAGCTATACTTTCCTGGAAAAGCGCATAGAAATGCATGAATTGTAATTGTATGCCATCTATGAAGCCTCAAATGCCACCGATTAGAAATGCTTCCTTATTACTTCTATTAATTGGGAAATGCTGAAATAAAAGGTAATTAGAAATATAGGTAATGAAAATTAAGCTAATGTCAGCCTGATATAAGAAAAAACAAATTACGTATTCTTAAATATAGCAGTAAAATTGAGACTACCGTGTCCCCATCCTTTAAACATGTCATTGCGTCTAGTATTAAATGAATCATAATTAGATTAGACAATTGAAATGCCTTTCTCCTGGAAACCAGCACCAACTTCATTTTTGTAAACCTAACCTGACACTTTAATTGACAGTTCTCAAAATGTCAAGAATCGTTGTTTTATGGACACATGAGCCATAACCACAGAGAGAAGGATGAAATCGGTTAATTTACATTCCCCTCTGGTTGAAAGTTTTGTAACCCCACTCTAAGTGGTGCCATTGATTGGACCAAGTGACTAACTTGATTATGTAACGCATACGCCAATTAATAAACAATTTGTAGCTATAATAACAAGGTATACATGAGCGCCTTGCCTTAAATTTTATTATGAAGTTTCTTTTGATGTCATACACAGTAGAACTTTCCCATGATAAATGTACGACCAAAATTATCGTCCTACATTTCAATTTAGATATTTCATGAAATTTCTCGTAAAGCCATTTGTCTAATAAAGGAAAATTTTCAAATTTTAAAAATTCCAAGAACTGAACTTCGAAATTTTAGTGAATAGGGATAACTAAATAGATTATTTCACTAACTTTTGATAATATTGATAACTATCCCTAAAATCAGATCAACAATAGGTCTTTAAGACCAAATGCTGATACATCTCTATCTCTATCTAATTTCACAAACCGCTAGTCTTGATGTGGGTGGTCTTTTACCGGAAAAACAGCATATTGCTTTACTCATCATCAACCATGCCATCAATTTGGAAGCGCGTAAACTGTTCTAATGGATTTCTCTCTATCTCGGTCTACCACTTTTTGTGATGAGAAATTCAAGTAAACAATGATCCTAATTGAAGATCACATAACTGTATCTATTGCAAAAATAGATATGGCCAAAACTTTCTAATCATTTATAAAATTGTCAATACGTTTACCAGACTTACGGGCGGAGGCACAGTCCTGAGATAATTTAATTAGCGAATTTAGCATGTGTGGTTTGGGTTATTATTTTACTAATTAGTCCAAACTGGTGGACATGTTTTAAGTTTCATATTGCTTAATTAGTCCCAAAAATAAGCAAGTATATTTCTTAAGGATTGGCTCAAATTGAAATTTACGTATTTATAGGCAGAGTCTTAATCTCCACTGTTCTTAAAAGGGCTGTACTGAACCAAATTCACAATGACAATGTGGAAAGAAGTAGCCCAACCAGACCAATTTTCTTCCCTAGAAATTTAAGATAAAAGGCATTTCAAGGTACCCCCCTAAAAAGGAAATATTTTTCCCCGAAATTACAGGTGTTGGTACAACCCATATTTATGAAAAAAACCTTTATTTATCCTGAACATTTCTGAAAATAATAATTAAACTGATATGAGCCTTATAAATATCCTAATTTAGAAAAAGAAATAGTGACGAATAAATCTTGTTTTAAATTTTATTTCTTCATATATTGTTTTTCTACGTTTCCATCAAAATCTACAATAAATAGTAACATTTACTGTTAATTTCTATTTTTTTCTAGGAATTAATTAGAAAAGGGTCTTCCGTTTCTTTGATTGAAGTTGGTTCATTTCACTTTTTAGGCTGTATACTTTTGTTACAGAAAAGTATATCTTTCCCTAGCGCAGGAGCATCTCACAGAAGCTACGATGATTGACATTCATTGTAATTATCATAAGAATGCTACCACAATGGCGTGCAGTCTGATAATCTTCATTAGTTATTTCATTACAGGTGTTAGTAACATCTGATTTTTACTGCAATTCAACATTCATTTTTACGGATTAATCTCACGGTTGTCTAACTCATCAACATTTATTCTACAACGCAGTACATAAATCAAGATATGCTCTAGAAAGTCTCTTGGGTGATGTAAAATATAATACACTGCTTCAAGAGTCAAGACAAAGCCAACAATCCTTGACTTTTCTCGTAAGAAAAGTAATTTAAATGCACGTCCACTGGTCCAGAAGTGAAAAAGCACTCGCGCATTGACACTTGACTTTCGTGAGCTTGTCATATTTGAAATTACTATTTTTTTTGAAAAGTAAATTAATATTCGCGGGCTCTGGTTTGTCTGGTTAAGCGTTCGTGTGTTTACTTGCCTAAGAGTTTAGTACATTCTGAGAAGGAGGAGAAGTGAAGGAGGATAGTTTTTAGGGGAGTGTAAAAAATGGGCCGATGCAAATTCATTAGGGGTGGGGGT